GTCGTCGTCGTCGTCGTCGTCGTCGTCGATTTGTCGACATCGGCGTCGTCGACCCGTCGTCGTCGTCGTCGTCGTCGTCGTCCCGTCATCGTTCCGAAGTCGTCGTCGTCGTCGTCGTCACTTCGTCGTTGTCGTCTGTCGTCGTCGGCCCGTCGAAGGTCCGTCGTCGTCGACGTCGGTCCGATGTCGCCGTCGTCGTCGTCGTCGTCGGTCCACCGTCGCAGTCGTCGTCGGTCCGTCGTCGACGGGTCGTCGTCTTCGTTGGTCCGACGTGGTCGTCGACGTAGGTCCGTCGTCGTCGTCGTCGTCGTCGTCGTCGTCGTCGGTTCGTCGTCGTCGTCGTTCCGATGTCGTCATCGTCATCGTCGTCCCGTCGTCGTCGTCGTCGGTCTGTCGTCGTCGTCGTCGTCGTCGGTCCATCGTCATGGTCGTTGTCGGTCCGTCGTCGATGTCGCCGTCGTCGTCGCCGTCGTCGTCGGGCCGTCGTCTTTATCGTCGTCGTCGTCATCCGTCGTCGTTTTCGTCGTCGTCGATCCGTCGTCGTCGTCGTCGTCGGTCAATCGTCGTCGTCGTCGCTCCATCATCGTCGTCGTCGTCGGCCGTCAACATCGTCGTAGGTCCGTCGTCGACGTCAATCTTTCGTATTTGACATCGTGGTCCCGTCGACGTCGACGGCGCCGATCGTCGGTCCAACATTGTCGTTGTCGTCACTGTCATCGTCGTCTTCGTCGTCGTCATCGTCGTCGTCGTCGCCGTCGTCGCCGTCGTCGTCCGTCCGTCGTCGTCGTCAACGTCGCCGTCGTCGTCCCGTCAACGTTCCGTCGTCGTCGTCGTCGTCGCATCGTCGTCGTCGTCCTCGTCATCGTCGTCGGTCCGTCGTCGTCGCATTCCTCCTCGTCAACGGACCGTCGTCGGTCCGTCGTCGGTCCGTTGCCGTCGTCTTCGTCGTCGTTATCGTCGCCAATCCGTCGTCGTCGTCAAAAACGTCGTCGTCGTCCCTTCATCGTTCCGTCGTCCTCGTTGTCGTCGTTCGTCGTCGTCATCGTCCTATTATCGGTTCGTCGTCGTCGTCGGCCTAGGTCCGTCGTCGTCGTCGTCGTCGTCGTCGTCCCGTCGTCGTTCCGTCGACCGCTGATACGTCTCGGCCGCGTCGTCGTCGTCGTCGTCGTCGGTCCGTCGTCGTCGTCGGCCCAGGTCCGTCGTCGTCATCGTCGTCGTCATCGTCAGTGTCGTCGGTCCGGCGTCGGTCGATCGACGTCGTTCCGTCGTCGTCGTCGGTCCGTCGTCGACGGCCCGTCGTCGTCGTCGTCGTCGTCGTCGTCGGTCGGTTGTCGTCGAAGTCGTCGTCGTCGTCGCCGTCAGTCCGTCGTCGCCCGTCGTCCTTCCGTCGTCGTTCCGTCGTCGTCGCCGTCGTCGTTGTGGTCGTGGTCGGGCCGTCGATGTTCGATCGTCGTCGTCATCGTGGTGGTCGTTTTCGCTATCGTCGCCGTCGTCGTCGTCGATCCGTCGTTGTCCTCGTCGTCGTCGATCCATCGGGCCGTCGTCGGGCAGTCGTTGGTCTGACTTTTCGTCGCCGTCGTCGTCAGTCCGTCGATCCGTCGTCAGTCCGTCGGTCCGAGGTCGTTCTGTCGTCGTCGTCGTCGTCGTGGTCGTCTTCCTGGATGAATCGTCGTCGTTGTGGTCGTCGTCGTCAGTCCGTCGTCGTCTACATCGCCGTCAGTCCAGCGTCGTTCCGTCGTCGTCGTCGTAGCCGTCGTCGTTCAGTCGTCGCCAGCATCACGTCGTCGATCCGTCATTGTCGTACGCCGTCGTAGATTCGTCGTCGTCCTGTCGTCGACGACGTCGTCATTCGTCGTCGTCGACGTCGTTCATTCGTCGTCGTCGTCTCCATCCCGTCGTGCGACCGTCGTCGTCGTCGTCGTCGTCGTCGTCGTCGGTCGTCATCCCGTCGTCGTCGTTTGCCGTCGTAGGTCCGTCGTCGGTCTGTCGTCGTCATTATCGTCAGCATCATCGTCGTCGCTAGCGTCGACGGCGTCGTCGTCGTCGGATTGAATGTCCCGCCTGCGTCAACGTCGTCGTCCGTCCGTCGTCGTTGTCGTCGTCGTCGGTCCGTCGTCGTTCCGTCGTCGTAGGCATCGTCGTAGTCCTCGTCGTCGACGTCGTCATCGTTGACGTCGTCCCGTCGTCGAATCCGCCGTCGTTCTCGTCGTCGTCGTCATCGTCATCTTCTCGTCGTCGTCGTCGTCGTCAGCATTGTCCCAGTAGCCGTGGTCCCGTCGTCGGCCCAACGTCGGGCGAATGCAACGCCAGCGTCGTCGTCGTCGTCGTCGTCGGTCCCCGTCATTGCTGACATACCGGTGCGCCCCCCCCACAAAAATAACACAAAAAAAAACAAAAATAAACACCAAAAAAACAGACACAAACAAAAAAGATAAAAAAGCCGAAATCCAGAAAAAAAAAACAAAAAACCAAAAACATCCAAAACAAGAAAGAAAAAAGAAAAACAAAAACCAAAACAACAACAACAAAACCAAGAAACCAAAAAAACACAAAAAAAAAAAAAAAACCGACAAAAAACAAGCAAAAAAATTAACCCAATCCAAAAAACAAAAAAAAACCAAAAAGAGCGTCGCCGTCGTTCGGTCCGTCACCGTCGTCGTCGTCGTGACCGGTCCGTCGTCGTCGTCGTCGTCGTCGTCGTCGTTCTGTCGTTGTCGTCGTCGTCGCCGTCGTCGCCATCGTCATCGGTCCGTCGTCGTCGTCGTCGACGTCGTCCCATTGTCGTCCTGTTGTCGACGTCGTCCATCGCCGTAGCAGGTTCATCGTCGATCCGTCGTCGTCGTTGTCGTTGTCGCCGTCGTCGGTCTGTCGTCGCCGTCGTCCGTCGACGTCGCAGGTCGGTCTTTGGTTCGTCGACGTCGGCGTCGTCGGTCGTCGTCGTCCTCGTCGTCGTTGTCCCATCGTCGTCGTCGTCGTCGTCGTCGTCCGTCCGTCCGTCCGTCCGTCCGTCCATCCGTCCGTCGTCGTCATCGTCGTCCCGTCGTCGTCGCCCTTGTTGTCGTCGTCGTCGTCCCGTCATCGTTCCATCGTCGTCGTCGTCGTCGTCGTTGTCATCGTCGTTCGGTGTCGCAGGTCCAGCGCAGGTCCGTCGTCGTCGTCGTCGTCATGTCGTTGTAATCACCGTTGTCGTCGCCATGGTCGTAACTAATCACCGTCATCGTCGCCGTCCCGTCGTCGTCGTCCTCGTTATCGTCGTCGTGGTCCTGTCGTCGTTCCATCGTCGTCGGTCCGTCGTCGTCGACGCTGGCGTCGTCGTTGTCGTCGTCGGTCCGACGTCGTCGTCGTCGTCGTTGTCGTCGTCCTCGTCGTCGTCGTCGTCGTTGCCGTCGTCGTCGTCCGCGTCGTCGTCGTCGTCGACCCGTCGTCGTCTTCGCTGTCATCGTCGTTCGGTGTCGCAGGTCCGTCGTCGTCGTCGTCCCTTCGTCATCGTCGTCGTCGTCGACGTCGTCGTTTTCGTCGTCGTCGCCGTCCTCGTCGTCTGTCGTTGCTCTTGTCGTGCGGAGCGGGCGGGGGAACCCCACCCCTTCTGCGAGGGGGCGGCGGGGTGGGGTTGAACCACCCCTCCCCCGCTTGCGCGAGGGGAGGGGGTTGTGGGGCGGGGGGGCTTGCGCGAAGGGGAGAGGGAGAAGGGTTCTGGCTCGCCGGGTGGTTGTGGTGTTGAGGGGGGGCCCACAATTTTCGACATGTCAAGGGATGTTTCGCAGCCGAGAGCCCGTGAACCGAGCCTCTCTCTCTATCTCTCTGAAAGGCCCACCACGGAGACCCTCAAAAGGCCACGAAGAGGCTTCTGCCACGCGACCCAGACGCAACCGCACCCTTCAAATCCAAAAAAACGTCACGGCCGTGCTCGTTTTGGGGTTCAGCGGGATGGCGCAAGCCTCGAGTGGCTTACGGCAAGTTCGCGTCGTGTCGACCCCGGCGTTGGTTCCTGACACCGCGGGGATCGTTCAAACTTGAACGATCGGCCGTTCCGTGAACGCCGGATCGTTCAACGACGGGCTGATTCTGGGCAACGGGCGGCGTTCAACCTTAAACGCACGCGCTGGGGTCGCCGCCGGTCGGCACGACGCGAGCCTGCCGTAGGTATCCGTAAGATCGCGCTCCGCTGGACCTCCCAGGAGCCCACGAGACACCTCTGCGGTTCCCCATCCCCCGGGGCCGCCCCACTCCGCGCCCGCGCGGACCGAGCTGCGCGGCGCGCGGGCCAGCTTCGCGCCCTGCGCGCCGCCCGCCCTGGAGAGGGGTGCCTCTGGGAAAATGACCATAATGAAGCTCAACACACTAAACAATAAACGGGCTGCTCCCCGGAAGAGAAAAAACAATTTCCAGGAGCTCCGTTTTAGCAGCCACAGGTTTGCCAGACTTCCCCTGGCTTCTGAGCCTCTCCGACCCGAGCCGCGACGCGCGAGGCGCGACATCATCCTCGCGCCCCTGGGGTCAGCCTGGGGTCCTTCCCTCGTCCCCCCCCGTTGGCCTGACGTGGCAAGCTCAGGGCGCAGAAGCAGTAAGCGCTCAGACCAGCTTCGTCGGTGGGGATCGGGTCCACTTTGGGCCGCAGGCGGCGGCAGTGCGCGAGCATCTACACAAAATTAGGGCGCGGTGGCAAGAACGTCTGGCTCCACGTGTCCTTGTGACACCCTGCCCGCCCACCGCCAGGTCAAGGGGAGGAGCCCCCCGTCTGACTCCGAAAGTCGGCGGCGAGCGAGGAGGGGAAGTGAGAAGGAGAAGGCCCTCTCAGGAGGCGGAGGGGCTTCTCAGAGGCCCTCCGGCCTTATGAGATGTTTTTTTGCGTTTCGGGGAGAGCTCAGAAAACTTCTCAGAAGGCCCGGGGGACTTCTGAACCTTCTGAGAAGGCCCGCCCCTGCTCACTTCGCGCCCTCGCTCGCCGCCGAGATAGGGGCAGGCTGCCGCGAGGGGGGCAGAAACGGGAGGTCGTCGTCCTGGTCGTCAGCCGCCTGTCCACCCCGACCCCGCACGCCAGGTCCTCCTCGGCCGCGGGAGAGGCGCAAGGGATGACAAGCAAGGGAAAGAACGCATGCATGTTCACATCGCCTCCCTCCTCCTCCTCCTCCTCCTCCTCCTCCTCCTCCTCCTCCTCCTCCCTCCTCCTCCCTCCTCCTCCCCTCCTCCCTCCCTCCCTCCCTCCCTCCCTCCGTGCAAGCAGGCCGGCTGTACACTGGAGTTGCAGCACAGGACAAGCATGACAAACATGCGGGACCAGCTAAGCATTGCCCCCTGAGCCTATTCCCTCCTTGAAATTTTGGCCTAAACGCCAGCATGTCGAGGAGGATCCAGCCGTGGCGACGAGGGTTATCCAGGACGAGGCGCGGAGGAGGGAGGGGGAGGAGGAGGTGGAGGGAGGAGAAAATGAAATGAGGAGATGAAGGGCGAGGACGAGGAGGAGCAGGACGAGGAGGAGGAGGACGAGGAGGAGGAGGACGAGGAGGAGCCAAGAGGTGGGAGGAGGAGGAGGATTATGATCCTGATTATGATATGGGCGGGATCCTATCGCAGGGTAGGCCGATCGATCACTTTACGAACGCACAAAGACAATGGCGAAGAAGACAATGATGGAAGCACACCCGACAAGATGCCATCCGCTGTCACATAGTAATAATGTCAACTCCAGCAATACTCTCAAAACATTTGGCGAGATGCATGCTACTTTCAACCACCAACCGGGCTTAGATCGGGGGAGTGCCTTGATCACATGTCCCAACAAAAATCTCCAAAACAAATCTTGGACGCCCTACAGAACTCAATCATATTTCGAACCAAATCGTGACCCTCGGAAATATCCCCAAACATTGTTCGGGAAATCTTGCCCCTCGAAAATATCCGTGGCAAAATCTCCCAGAAAATCTTGCCCCTCGGAAATCCCCAGAAAAACTCCTGGGAAATCTTGCCACCCAGAAATCTCCATGATAATCTCCCAGAAAATCTTGCCCCTCGGAAATCTCCTGGAAAATCTCCCAGGAAATCTCCTGGGAAATCTTGCCCCTCTGAAATATCCATGGAAATCTCCTGGAAAATCCTGACCCTTGGAAATCTGCCAGGAAATCTCCCGGAACAGATGTCCAAAAGGATTTCCATTGAGATGTCCTACATCCCAATACTTTCAAATCAATGCTAACGCATTCCCGAAATCCCATAGATTTCGCCACTCGGAAATCTCCCAGGAAACCTTGCCCCTCGGAAATATTCGTGGAAATCTCCTGGAAAATCTGAATCCTCCCGGAAAATCTCCCGAGAAATCTTCCAGAACAGACTGCCAAAGAATTTTCCACTGAGATATCCTGCATCCCAGTACATTCTGATGACCTGTGACATTCCAGCAACCCCAGAGATTTCGCCAGAGACTCTCGGGCGAGCGGAATGGCCCGTAGATTTCGCCAGAGATTTGCACCAGAAGAGGGGTTCCTGGAGATTTCCTGGAGATTTCAGTGGAGCTTTGGCTTGGAGAGTTCTTTGCCAGGGGGATCTGCCTTGGAGATCTGAGGGGGCCCCAGCACCCTGGCTGGAGATCCAGGGGAACACTTTCGCAAGTCTTGACCAGAATCCCCCGATCTAAATCTAGGTCGGGCATGTCCGCCTACAGGCGGATTCTGGACGAAGAATACAAAAAATAAAAACAAAATACTCGGAATGACAAAAAATACGGAAACATCGTCCCCTGACTATTTTTTGACTATTTTTGAATAGTCCTCCTGTAGAGGGACAGGCCCGACTTAAATCTAAATCCAGGCAAGACATGTACAAAAAAACGCAATGGGTAAAACACTTCGCAGACTTACTGCACCAAAACGAGCCTGCCCCGACTCGCCACACCGCCCGCAGTGCAGCCGCGCACATCGTGACGCGATACGCGTGGCAAGTCATACCCGCACGATGTAGCCCACGAGAAGAGGCCGTGGCACAAACATTGATGAAGATCTCCACCTACACCAGCGCGACAACGAAGCACGAAGCACGCCCGCACATGGGCACCGTCTAGGGTGCTGCGGGTGCGGCGCCGGAGCGCCGGACCAGGTGTTGCCCGTGAAGCTGGAGATCATGCCCTTAAGGCTGGAAGTCGAAAGCTTGAGGTGAAGCCTGGAGGTGGAGCGAAAGCCAGCGCGACAACGAAGAAGAGCCGAACGGTGTGAACCTCCACATCGCAGCAGGCACACCAAGAACTTCTCCAGTAGCCGAGAAGGAACGAGGACACACCAGGCCCGTGGGCGAGGGGATCGCTGACCACCACGGTTCATCCCACGAACCCTTACAGTAAGCTTGCATGACAAATACACCGAGCCACATCCCACCAGAAAATCGAAGTGCATAATGACCAAACCGGTGGAAGTGCGCCCAGGCGCGCGATGCAACAACGAGAAATGTGCGACACGGACGGGTGGAGGAACTACTGCGTCAATACCTCGAGCACCACGGTGAAGGACGAAATCAGACACAATGTTTCGCCGCCTTGCACAATCGGACCTAGGACAGAAGAACTCCCTTCAAGAACATGAGACCCTCCGCTGGCCACAACGCACAGAACATCCGAGGCTGCCCCCCCCAGGATGCACAAGAACATCCCACAAGCACGAAGAGCATTGGAGCATCCAGAACCGACCTCGATCTTGTACCTCGGTCCGACTGTGCCCGGTGCCCCAACGCCACGGAGCGGCAGACGACGACCTCGAGCCGCAGCTGCGCACAGGCGAGCACCAAGCCCCGGGAGGAGCGCATGCGCAGGCTCGAGCCCCATGCTTGAGCCAGGTTTGAGCCCCTGGCTTGAGGGAGGAGGAGGAGGACAACGAGGAGGAGGACCAGTGCAAACCCAAGACTCATCAACGATGTTTGAATACACCCCCCCCAAACTTCCTTTTCGTAGTCCCCAACAACAAATCATTTCCACTGAAGAATTGCCCCGTAGGGGGGCAACCGTGTGAAAATCCAGAAGCGGGCCGAAACACCATTCTGAGGAGTCTAACGCCACGAATTAACCTGGCTGGCACGTCTTGGCGATCCAGAATCGTGCCAGAACGCTCTTCCTGGGACTCCAACACAGCGAATCAGCATAACGCCCTGACAGTCCTGCATCGTGCGAGAACGCTATATCTTGTACGTTGACCATGAGAACTAAACTCTTGCGTTTTTTAATACGAATGTGCGCGGCGCTGAGGCGAGAGCTACATTTTGAAAACGAACCGCCCTCAATCCGCGAAGCTCAAGCGAATGGAAAGGATGCGCGCGGCGCTAAAGCGAGAACCACATGTTCAAAACAGCCCGCCCTCATTCCGCAACGGTCTTCCAATGTTTCAAAACGAACGTACGCGGCGCTAACTCGACAACCACATTTTGAAATTGCTGAAAACGAATGTGTGCGGCGCTGAGACGAGAGCCACATTTTGAAAACGATCCGCCCTCAATCCTTGAAGCTCTTGCGAATGATTAAAACGAGTGTGCGCGGCGCTGTGGCAAGAACCACATTTTGAACACGACCCGCCATCAATCCGTGGAACTCATGCTAATTTCTGGAACGAATGTGCGCGGCGATAAAGCGCTAAAGCAAGAGCCAAGCCAGATTTTGGAAGCGGCCCGTACTCCATCTGCGAAGCTGTTGCCAGCTCCTAAGCTTCAGGCTCATAAGTGGTGAGGAATTCTCAGGCAAAACGCCCGGCCCGCCCCTTTGCCCAGCCTCGGAGCGCGACAGAGAGTTATTTGCAAGGAAACGAAATGGGGGAGTTGGAGGGAGGAGGAGGAGAAGGAGGAGGACGACGAGGAGGAGGAGGAGGGAGGAGGGCGAGGAGGGAGGAGGGAGAGGAGGCAGAGGAGCCGGAGGGTGAGGAGGACGGAGGGCATCGGCGCGGCCGCGCGCGGCGCGCCTGGCCGGCGCAGGTGCCCCGGGCGCCCTGCTCCCTGTTGCGGGGCAGCGCGACCTCCATGCACCTCCGGCGGGGCGGGCCCGGCGAGCCAGGCGGCGCGGGTGCCCCCCTCCTCGAGGCTGCCTGCTCCTCCCTCCCATCCCTTTTCCTCCCTGCTTGCCCTCCTCCTCCCTCCTCCACCTCCTCCTCCTCCTCCTCCTGCTCTCCCTCCCCCCCTCCTCCTCCCTCCACACCTTTTCCTCCCCTCCTCCTCCTCCTCCTCCTCCTCCTCCTCCTCCATCCCTTTTCCGTATAAGCAACTCCTCTCCATCGCACCCCCAGACGTGTCGGCAGGGCGGGACGTGCGTTTCGCCTGAGACTTCCTCGCCATGTATTATCCTGAGACTTGAAATGTGCAACGGTTCACGGATGGAGGGTGTGCCGTTTTCAGAATGTGGCTCACGCCTCAGCGCGGCGCACATCCGTCTGAACAGTTTGCAACTGTCTCAGAGATGCAGATCGGATGGGATGGTCTTCAAAATGTGGCTCTCGCCTTAGCGCCGCGCGCATTCGTTTTGTAAACTTGCACTTGTGTCACGGATGGAGGGCGGGTCGTTTTCAAAATGTGGCTATCTCTTTAGCGCCGTGCGCATTCCTGGACAACAAAAACGCAACTGCTTCAAGGATGAAGGGCGGGGTGGTTTTCAAAATGTGGCTCTCGCCTTCGCGCCGCGCGCATTCGTTCTAAACCGAAAACCTGCAAGTGTTTCAAGGACCGAGGGCGGCTGGTTTACAACATGTGGCTCTCGCCTGAGCGCCGTGCACAGTCGTCGTGAAACTTTGCACATGTTCCAAGGATTGGGGGCGGCCCTGGTGGGGGGCTCTCCGCTTCCTTGCGATCTCACTCCCTCGCCTCCGATGTGGTTGCTTGGCTGATGCCGATCAGCTCTAGGCACCAATCTTCGCGCATCGCGCCCCGCGATGGGCGACGCGTGATCATCTGCCCCCGTCCTCTGCGCCGCCCCCTTTGCGAGAAGGGCAGCCGCTCTGGCCTAGGCCGCGACGCGATAAACGCGATTATCTTCGCGCCCTCCGGATGACCTGTGTACCATACGCCTCAGATGTTCCCAAAAACGCTGAGGGCTTCGTTCTCTCGTTATGAAGATCGACGCTTTGTATGTAATTTGGGGCGCCTTTTTTGATACGTGTTCAGCTCCGGGATCGATCCGCGGCCTGTGGTGAAGCTGTGAGGCCCGAGTACTGGCAGTGGTCTCGAACAACAAAAAACACAACGCTCATCCAGTCGAGCGCAAGCTGACATTGGATCAGGAGTCCGTGGATCTGGTGCGTGGGCGCCAGATCCCCCACGGATCTGGAAAGGCCCCCCCGAAACACCAGGCAGGTGCCACCTTATTTGGCGACGAAGAGCGCCGACTCTGCACGGAAACGGGACCCAAAGCTCACCCACGCGCCTGAATCCATGTCTTCGCTGTCTCGGTCTGATACATGCAAGAGACGGAACGATGTCGCCCCCCCCCTACCCGCGCCCATGGTGTCAGTGTCCACACTCACACGCGGGCCGTAGTCCGCAAAACCATACTCTCCCGAAAGGATTGCCGCTCGCCCGGATAGAAGGCCTTGAACATTGAAATTAGAGCCGGGGGGTGGATTGCCCAGTTTCGATAACCTCGACGATGGGCGTTTTTTGTCTTTCTTCCAGAACCACGGGGCCACCAGCACCGAGGTCGTCGATCCGCTCCATCGATGAAGACGACCGTCGATGCTGGTGTTGATGCGGGCCCTTGTTTTCCTGACAGGCGCGCTGCTGGCTACAATCGGCAAAGCACACACGTGCCAACCTACACCAGAGAGCATTAAACACGGGCGGGCAAGTGTGAAACGTCGTTGATGATAGAGGAACAATGAAAAGTATAAACACAAACTTTTGGAGCTCCGCGCGGATTTCTTGGATCGGCGCTGGACGCCACCCCCTGGCGCGCGGAGCCGCGCTAGGGGGGCCCAGCGCCGATCCATGAAATCTGCCCGGAGCTCCAAATATATACATGTTTATGCCGTTTTTGTTCTTCGCGATACAATCGATAAATCAGCGAACATCAGTTGACGCCCGCGCCCAGTGCGTGCGCGTGGCCGTTAGGCCCGACTGCTGGCCGCACTGGCGCTCCACGGCGACGCACCTCGCTTCAAGAGTGCCCTCCAACACAAAAGCAGCGCGCCCCAGGGAGGGCCAAGCGCCGATCCGAGAAGTCCGCCAGGACCTCCGGGAATCGTGCCTGCGTCGGGGAGACGTAAGACTCGGGTTCGGGGGACTCTGGTTGGCCTGACGGGGCCGTCAGGAAAATGACGAGACTCACTCTGAAACTCGACGCGAGCTCCCGCTGCAAACACCCCACAAAGAAATGGGCCGTCAAAATCCAGGGCGAAAGCGTCGGTGGACCCCAGCTCCCGCGTACAAGCAACCCATGTAGTAAGAACGAACGGGGCCCTGGAAGGCCATGCCGACACTCTGCGAGCGGGGGGCAGCCAGCGAAAGCGGCCAAGGATGGGCCGAATTGGAAGGGCGCAAGGGCAACTTTGCAAAGTTGCTCATCCTTACGGTGCGGGTTGACTGTAAAAGGGGTTGACGGGGGAGGAGGTTGTCCCGCACCTCATTTCGGCGGCGAGCGAGGGGGGGACGTGAGAAGAAGAGGGCCTTCTCAGAAGGCGGCGGGACTTCTCGGAAGCCCTCGGGCTTTCTGATAAATTTTTGTCCGTGCCTTTGGGCATCGTTTAACCGACCCCTATCCCCATGAACGTGGCCTGGGCCCCAATGGCCGATTGACCAGATGAGATGGGGATGGGGATATAGGCCGTTCCATTCGGGTTTCGAGGTGTGTGTGCCCCCAACTGGGGTGCAAGGATGCTGGGGGTCTGGATGGGGATGGGGATGGGGATCGGTGAAACGATACCGACCTTCGGGGAAGGCTCGGAGGAAGGCCAGGGGGCGTGCGAGCCCTCTGAGAAGGTTCGCCCCCTCGCTAGAAGAAGAAGAACCACATCACCATAATCATTTGGTGCTCCGCGCGGATTTCTTGGATCCGCGCCGGACCCCCCTCCCTGGCGCGCGGAGCGCGCCAGGGGCGGCGCCGGAGGTGCCGCCGGGGGGACCCAGGCGCGGATCCAAGAACTCCGCGCGGAGCGCCAGAAGTTTACGTCCGTGTGTTCTTCTTCTTCGACTCGCTTCCCCCCCCCCCCCGGGCTCGCCGCCGAGCATCGCGTCTCCCAGCTCTGCCCTGGCCGCTCGCCGCCGCCTGCGCGCGCGGGCGTCGTGCCCACTGCCAGCGGCGCTTGCCCGAAGGGGGGAGGCGCGCAGCCCGCTGCAGTCCGACGGGCTCCGCCGCGTGGCCGAGGCGACACGGGGGCTGCAGCCCAGGCGCAAGAGAGAGAGAGAGAGCAGGGTTCGAGTTGTGTTGCTCCCATCGCACGTGAGGACCACATCCCAGAAATAACTTCGAGAACATGTTTGAGCACTCCTCCTGTAGAGGGACACACCCGACTTAAATCTTCGCGAGAAAGCCTGTTCGACAGGTGACGAACTGCGGCGAGCTGGAGGCTTGCGCGAGGAGAGAGGAAACCCGCCCCCCTTGATTGGTTATTCTTGAAGACGCCCCCGTCGTTCTTTTACCCTTTGCACTTTGGACTCTTGACTTATGTTGCTCCCATCGTACTTAAAGACCACATCACATAAATAATTCTGAGTACCCGGAAAAATGTCGAAACAGTGTCGAAACAGTGTCGAACGGCGTCGAAACAGTGTCGGACGAGTGTTTCCAAGGGCCCGACACGTGAAAACCCTAGAGTTTCGGTACTTTCCTGGTGCTCGAACTTCTTTCTGGTGGTCAAGGCTGAAGTAGGCTGGCCCATCACAAAGAGAGAGCAGGGCTCAAGCTCAGCAAGGTTTGTCGTTTTCGCTCTGCTTCCGTTTCCCTTCGGTCCGTCTTCGCTCTGTGACTGCCGCAGGATGGGATTGCAAAAAAAAGAGCAGCCCACGAGATCGTCCACACGAGGGAGGGAACGAGAGAGAGCAGAGCTCGAGCAAAAGGGTGTGTTTCATCTTTGTTCTGCTTTCGTCGGCGGAGAGCGAGGAGGGAGTGAGAAGAGAAAAGCCTTCTCAGAAGGCGGCGGGACGTCTCCGAAGCCCTGGCGCTTTCTGATAAGTTTTTTCTGCGTCTTCAGGAAAGGCTTAGAAAACATCTCAAAAGGCCGGGGGGCTTCCGAGCCCTCTGAGAAGGCCTTCTCCTTCTCACTTCCCCCCCTCGCCCGCCGCCGGTTTCGTTTTCCTTCGCTCTTTCTTCGCTCCGCCTTTTCCCGCAAAACGAGATCAAGACGAAAGCGGTCCACGAAAGCGCCCAAGCACTGTTTAGCTCGCGCCCTGGAGAGGAGAGGAGGCATGGAGTGCCAGGAGAGGCCAGAAGGCTCGAAACAGAAACAGATGTGTAAGCACAGGCTTTCGGAGGTCACCGCGGGTTCTCGGATCGGCGCTGAGGCCCTCCTGGCGACGCCTTCAGAGCCGCCCCTGGCGCGCTCCGCGCGCCAAGGAGGGGGGTCCAGCGCCGATCCAAGAGATCCGCGCGGAACTTCGAAAGTTTATGTTAATGTAGGCTCTTCCTCCTTCGAAAGACGGCTGAGCTCGACAGAAAGAACAGGCGACGAGGAAGGAACACTCCTCCTCCTCCTCCTCCTCCTCCTCCTCCTCCTCCTCCTCCTCCTCCTCTTGCTCCTCCTCCTCGTTCTCGTCCTCCTCCTCCTCCTTCTCCTCCTCCCCTGGAGGAACACGAGGACCACGGCCAAGACCGAGCGCCGGTGCCGATCTCGGTGATCGTCCACACCTTGATCAAGGGCTCCCAACTTCGCGCTTCGCGCTGCGCGAAGCGCGAAGTGCGAATAACTTCGCGCTCCCGCGCCGCCTCCCAGGGGAGAATAGGAGGATGAGGAATCGGAGCCGAACCGCGAAGCGTGAATTCGCCGGCCCAACGGGCCAGGGCGTGCTAAGATCTCCGGTAACTGGTTAACAGTATTAACAGTATTTCTAGTTCGCGCGCGCGGGGCGGCCCCTGGGGGTCCCCCGGCGAAAAGTACCCCGACCAACGCCCGGTCGCCAGCCCACCAAGTCTACTCATATATGGTTTTTTCCTCTTTGCGGCCTCTCAGGCTCCCCAGAGCGCGCTCAGAGTGCCCCAAGAGGCCCCCAAGACTGCCCAAGAGGCCCCCGAGACGCCCAAAGAGCGCTCGAAGACGCCGAAGATGACCCCAAGACGGCCCAAAAGGCCCCCAAGACAGCCCAAGAGGCCTCCAAGACGCCCCAAGAGCCTTCCAAGAGGCCTCCGAAGAGAGCCCCAAGAGGCCAAAATCGTTGATTTTCATTGGTTTTTTCGATGTTTGTTGTGTTCTGGCATTTTCGGCTTCCGGACGCTCCAAGACGGCCCAAGAGGCCCTCAAGACCGCTCCAAGACGTCCCACGAAACTCCCAAGACGGCGCCGAAACGACCCAAGAGAGCCCTCAAGACGGCCCAAGTGCCGCCCAAGACGGACCAAGAGGCCCCAAGACGGGCCCAAGATGGACTCAGGAGGGATACCGAGAACTCAAAAATGGAGCCCTCCGTCCCAGAAGGCGCCCAGGAGGTCCCAAAGAGGCCCCAAGAGGCCTCCAAGAGGCCCCAAGATGTCGCCAAGAGGCCCCAGGAGACTCCCAGGAGGCCCAAAAGAAACCCCAGAAGGCTTCAAACATGTCTCCCAGGCGCCCCCGAACGGCCTCTCAACAGACCCCAAGAGGCCCCCCAAAGAAGCATCTTGACGACGACTCTATTTCGCCCCATCGAGAGACGACCCCCCAGGGAACTGCTTCACCATCAAAACTCCCCACGCAACGCGTCCGAACGACACCCGCCCCCAAGAGCGCAACATGGGCAACGAACACACAGACAAAAACCAGCGATGCCATATCACGGGCCGGCGGAATGAGCGAAGCGATTCAATAACTAACTTCGCGCCCTCGAGGGCGCCCTTGTTCATCATCGTCATCCGTGGATCATCCTCGCGAATCGTCGACGGCCGTCGTCATCATCCTCGTCATCCGGCATGGACCATTTCCAAGATCGGCGTCGTCAAGGTCCCGCGACATCTTGGTCATGGCCGGTCATCTTCCCTCGAGAGAAACATGGTTGAACGGAGGCTATGTCCTGTGTGAGCCCCATCGCCTCGTGCAGGGAAAATCGGCGTCCGAGGACGCCTGAAAATTTTACACCTCATGAGTGACACTATCGCAGTCAGCTTTGCCCTTCATGCAAGCCAGTACGCCGTGCTCTCTGACTATCGCGGCCAAGACCTTCGCAGTGTACCCCTTGTCATCGGTTGCGGCGCAATCCGCTCCCTCTTCCAGCAGAAGGGTGACGCAATCGCAGTTCCCTGCGTTCGCGGCACACATGAGCGGCGTCCTCGAATCCAGCATCCGAGCGTTTATGTCGGCACGCCTGTCAAGCAGAATGCGGAGCACACTGGGGGATCCACCTGAGGCAGCTTTGTGCACAGCGGACATGCCATCTAATTGCGAGGCGCTGTTCAATTCCGCACCGTGGTCGAGCAGATATGCACAAATCTCGGCGTGACCGCAAAGACAAACGGCCTCCAACACGGAGACGCCCACTTGCAGAAGTCGTCGTGGCACCTCCGCGCGCGATTCAACCAGCGACCTGACAATCGCCATGTTCCCCTCGCATGCAGCGCAGAACAACGGGAAAAACACGGGCTGCAATGGCACATCCAGACCTTCGATGTCCTCATGGAAGCCGTAACGGTGCAGAAATGAAGCCACACTATCATCTTGAGGAACGTCCAATGTACCGTACCTTCCCGTCTCCGCAAGCAGCGCTGGCTTGAGACAAAGAAACCAAGTATAGTGCACCATGTCTAGAGAACCTAAAAACTGCACAAACTCAGTCTTTCGGGGATCCGTGCGAATGTCTTGGGCTGGCATGTGCGGGGAGTGGTCTGGCGCCGACCCGAGAAATCCCACCAACCCTTTAGAGCGTGGGTGGTTTGTGGGGAGACCAAAAGGCACCGATACCGCTACTCCCCAGACCCCTCCCAGGGTGCGTTCTGACCAGAATTTCGAGGCGAATCCAACGGTAACGACGAGGGCCTCCAAGGAGGCTCGAAAAGGGGAAAACTGGCGGAGGGTAGCGGGATGGGTACCTTTTCCTACTCTGAGTTTGGAGCGTTCCTCGTCCATCACCCCTCCCCCATAATTAACCCCTCCCCCTGGGTTTGGAGGGGGCGTTTCGCGAGGCGCTGGAACGTCCAAGATGGCCTCGGCGAGAGGACCCAAATCATGGATTGTACTAGGACTTTGGCCACAGTTTGGCTTCCTCGGGGTGGGGGCCTAATGTACTGCGGCCCCTCCTTTGATCGATCTCCTCTAAGATGTCTCCAAGATGGCCCCCGAGGCTCCCAAGGGTGCCCAAAGACGGCCCCAATTTGCCCCTAGGAGGCCACAAGAAGCCTCCAAGAAACCCCCACGATGCCCCCAAGAGGCGCCCAAGAGACCCCCCAAAGGCCCCTCAGAGGCACCCAAGACGTCCCCAAGTGGTCTCGGCGAGAAGACCAAAAACATTCATGTTATTAAGGTTTTGGTCACATTTGGGCCTCCTGGGGGGGGGACTAATTGGAGCCTCCCCCTTGTTTGATCGATCTCCTGGCCCCAAGATTTCTCCCGAGGCTCCCAAGGGGGCCCCCAAACGGCCCCGAGAGGTGCCCAGGAGGGCCCCCAGAATGCTCCCAAGCGGCTCCCAAGAGACCCCCAGGAGGCCTCGAGAGGCCCACCAGAGGCGCCCAAGACGCCTCGGCGAAAAAGTCAAAACCATTGACTTTACAATGGTTTTGACCACATGCTGGCGTCCTGGGGAGGAGGCCCCAATGTACGGGGAAGCTGGTAACAATAAAGGCTGGAAACACAACGGACAGAGTGGTTAGAAAAGAGGAAATCGCGCTCGCGCCGGCCTGCGAAAATAAAAAACACAGGGAACCCGCGCCCCGAACGCAAAAACATAGAGACCTCATGGTAGCCCCAAAGAGCCCCCAACCGGCCCGACGGCGATCTCCGCGCAGGAAAAGGCGAACCGCAACGAGGGCGGATGGGGCTGGCCCAACACATGGAAAAACATAGGCGTCGAACCAATCCTGCGGGGCTCCGCTCGGGCCGATGGCCAAAAACACAAAGGTCTGGCCAAAAGCAAAAAAACGCAAGGGCCCGCGTGGCCAACAGGGGGCGGCCCTCGCCCAAACAGAAAAACACAGCAGGGCGCCCCGCAGAAATAAAACAAAGATCGTGTCGCGGCCTCGGCCACCGCGCCCGAACCGCGGACTAGAAAACACAGAAGGCTGGCGCGCAAAGAAAAAAACAACGTTTTCATGGAGGCGCCTGAAGCGGTCGGCCCAGGCCGACCACTTCAGCGCCTCTGGTTCTTTTTGAACCTGCCTCTTTGACTGCGTGTTTTTGGGGGGCCTGCCTATTTGACCCCTTTCCGCGTTGCATTTTGGGGAGCCTTCGGGGAACCAACATTGGGTCAGTCAGCCTCAAAAAGGCGGCGGGTGACACGTGTCACCCCCGAAACCGCGCGTGAAAAAACAACAACTGTGAAATTGCGACTCTGGTGGCCAACATGGGGTCAGTCAGCCTCAGAAAAGCAGCGGGTGACACGTGTCAACCACAACACCGTGTAGAAAAAAACAATTCTAACATTACGATCCTGGGGGCCAACACGGTGTCAAGGAAAAGAAACAAAAACAAGGGCGGGAAAAGGGGAAAAAACAAAAAAAGAAGTCCAGGAAAAGAAACAAGAGAAAAAAAAAAAAACAACAGGGGGAACGGACAACCAGTCAAAAAAAAGAAAAAACATAAGATCAAATAAATGAAGCAGAGAGAGGCTGTACATGCAAGTCAAGTCAAAAAAAAAAAACCAAAAGCAAAAGAAAACAACAAGGAGGAAGGGGGGGGGGGACAGACCAAAACAAGCGTGGGGGGGCGGCAGGAGTCAGCCAGCCTCAGAAAGCAGGGGCTTGACACGTGCACCCCCGAAACTGCGTAGGGTAAAACCAATTGTGCAATTATGATTCCAGGGGCCAACGTGGAGAAGGCAACGGTGACACGTGTCATCCCCGACACCGTGTAGAAAAACCAATCAGAACATTATGATTCCGGGGCAGCGATGGCAAGTCATCAGCCTCATCAAAGGCAGCGGGTGACAAGTTCCCCCCGAACCGCCCGAGAACCAATTGTATACTATGAATTCAGGGGGGCAACATGGTGTTCCATCAACCTCAGAAAAGCAAAGCGGTGACACGTGTCACCCCGAACCGCGTGAAGAAACAAATGTGAAATTACGATTCGTTGGGGCAACACGGTGTCAATCAGCCTCATAAAAGCAGCCGCCAACCCGTGTCCACCATCGAACGTATGTAAAACCCATTGCAAAACTATGGGTCGGGGGCAAACATGTGTCATCATCTCAGAAAAACAACGGGTGACACGTGTCACCCCCGAAACCGTGTAGAAACAACAATTATACAAATACGCTTATGGGGGCCAACATGGCGTCAACCAGCCTCAGAAAAGCAGCGGGGTGACACGTGTCACCCCCGAAACCGTGTGAGAAAAACCAATTGAAAAATTATGATTCTGGGGGCCAACACTGGGTCAGTCAGCCTCAAAACAGAAACCGCGTGAGAAAACTTAACTTTCAGATTATGATCCGGGGGCCAACATGGCGTCAACCAGCCTCAGAAAAGCAGCGGGGTGACACGTGTCACCCCCGAAACCGCGTGAGAAAACCAATTATAAAATTACGACTCTGGGGGCCAGCATGGTGTCAATCAGCCTCAGAAAAAGCAGCGGGTGACACGCGTCACCCCCGAAACCGCCTAAGTAAAACCAATTGTAAAATTATGATTATTGGAGGCAGCATGGTGTCAATCAGCCTCAGAAAAGCAGCGGGGTGACACGTGTCACCCCCGACACAGTGTAGAAGAACCAATTATTCGCCGGCCCAACGGGCCAGGGCGTGCTAAGATCTCCGGTAACTGGTTAACAGTATTAACAGTATTTCTAGTTCGCGCGCGCGGGGCGGCCCCTGGGGGGCCCCCGGCGAAAAGTACCCCGACCAACGCCCGGTCGCCGCCCGACCGCCGCCCGACCAAGTCTACTCAGAGATGGTTTTCCTTCTGGGCGCGGCCTCTCAGGCTCCCTAGAGCGCGCTCAGAGTGCCCCAAGAGGCCCCCAAGACAGCCCAAGAGGCCCCCGAGACGCCAAGAGCGATCGAAGGACGCCGAAGTAATGACCCCCAAGACGGCCAACACGGCCCCCAAGACATCCCAAGAGCTCCCAGACCCCCAAGGCCTTCCAGAGGCCTCCGAGAGAGCCCAAGAGGCCAAAATCGTTGATTTTTTCATTGGTTTTTTTTCGGATGTTTTTTGTGTTCTGGCTGGCTTTTTCGGTTTCCGACGCTTCCAAGACGCCCAAGGGCCCCCAAGACCGCTCCAAGACGGCCCACGACGCTCCCAAAGACGGCGCCGAAACGACCCAAGAGAGCCCTCAAGTACGGGCCCAAGTGCGCCCAAGACGGACCAAGAGGGCCCCAAGCACTTGCCCCAAGAGGGACTCAGGAGGGATACCGAGAACTCAAAAATGGAGCCCTCCGTCCCAGAAGGCGCCCAGGAGGTCCCAAAGAGGCCCCAAGAGGCCTCCAAGAGGCCCCAAGATGTCGCCAAGAGGCCCCAGGAGACTCCCAGGAGGCCCAAAAGAAGCCCCAGAAGGCTTCAAACATGTCTCCCAGGCTCCCCCGAACGGCCTCTCAACAGACCCCAAGAGGCCCCCCAAAGAAGCATCTTGACGACGACTCTATTTCGCCCCATCGAGAGACGACCCCCAGGGAACTGCTTCACCATCAAAACTCCCCACGCAACGCGTCCGAACGACACCCGCCCCCAAGAGCGCAACATGGGCAACGAACACACAGACAAAAACCAGCGATGCCATATCACGGGCCGGCGGAATGAGCGAAGCGATTCAATAAAATTACGATTTTGGGGGCCAGCACGGTGTCAGCCAGCCTCAGAAAAGCAGCGGGTGACACGTGTCACCCCCGAAACCGCGTGAGTGAAACCAATTGTACAAGTATGATTCCGGGGGCCAACGTGGTGCCATTCTGCCTCAGAAAAGCAGCGGGGTGACACGTGTCACCTCCGATACCGTGTGAGAAAAACCGATTGTAAAATTATGATTCTGGGAGGCAACATGGTGTCAATCAGCCTCAGAAAAGCAACGGGTGACACGTGTCACCCCCGAAACCGTGTGAGAAAAACCAAGTGTAAAATTATGATTCTGGAAGGCAAGATGGTGTTAATCAGTCTCAGAAACGTAGCCTGTGACACGTGTCACCCCCGACACCGTGTAGACAAACCAGTTATGACATTACGATTCTGGGGGCCAACACGGTGTCAGCCAACCTCAGAAAAGCAGTGGCTGACACGTGTCACCCCCGAAACCGCGTGAGTAAAACCAATTGTACAATTATGACTCTGGGGGCCAGCGTGGTGCCATTCAGCCTCAGAGAAAAAGGGGGGAAGACCAAAAGAAAGGGGGGAGGAAACAAAAAAAAAAAGGGGGGGGGGAGGGGGGGGGGAGGGGGAAGAAAAAAAGAAACAAAAAAAAAAATGGTAAAAAAAAAAACAAAAAAAAAAAAAAGAAACGCAACAAAAAAATAAAAAAGTGGGATAAAAACGGGGAGGAAAGGAAGTGGGGCAAGAAAAAAAGAAGGGGGGAAGGGGGGGGGGGGAAGAGAAGAGGGGGGGAAAAAAGCCAAAGGGAATGAAAAAAAGCAACGGGTGACACGTGTCACCCCCGATACCGTG